TGGAAAATGTTTACTTTTTACCTCTATAATGCACCAAGGATATTCACTTTTACATCAAAAACCACCCCCAAAGTTTAAAATTGAAGCATTATTTCGACTAGTTATGCTGTACACAAACACAAAAACAAAAAACACAAATCATTGTAAAATCAATACATTCATCAATTCGTTCAGAATCTAAAAGCGGGAAAGTGGATGTCACTCTGCTGTACAGTAGGTTACAAGTGGGTTACTGTAATGGATGGAATTAAATTTGAATCCAATGATATTATACCATTATATACGAAAAACGATTCTGAGCGAAGACTGTTTATCTGTCTAGGATATATTATACATTATGTATCTATGGTCATTTGTTTTAAAGTTACATCAAAAACCAAAATCGATTTTGTCAAAAACTGATTGTGCGTAAAATTTCCCGTTTTTCCCTTAATTTTTAGTTTGTTTTTCTCGATTATTTAGAAAATTATTAAAAATTTTTTACTTTTGACCCCTCAAAGTTCCAACTAGATTTACTCTCTGATCGAACGAGGTACTGAAGTCAAAAATCAAAGCACTTTTACTGCCCCAAAATGTGATRACAGACACAAAAAAAAAATTAAAATAAAAACACACATTATGGTAAAATCAATACATTTATCGCTCCACTCAGAATCTTAAATAAAAAAGTTTCGCACACCTATAAATAAACCAAAAAGAACCAAAATATTTTCCGATATATATGATGTCTATAAAAATTAATATGAATATTTTTTTAAAAATACCCATAATTTATTTTAGATGCTAATATTCTATTTTAAATTACAACAAAAAACAAACACAAAAAAAAAATATTCATGTTATTCGCGTTAATTCTAAAAAGTATAGGTAATTGTAATATCTACTTTCAACACATGGCAACTGATATTCTACCCAAAAATCATACTCAATTTCGATTTTTTAGGTATTTCCATTGTTCAACGATGAAAGGCACAAAAAAAAGTAAAATATTGCAAGCATTGTAAAACCAATACATTCATCACTTCACTCTGTTTTTCACTGGCCTAACTATCATCGTGATAGGAAAAAGGAAACCATCATCAACACAATATCATCAACAGAATAGGCCACACCAGAATAACACATGGCTACCTAATATCCCGAGATGAGCCCCCCTCGTGTATGGCGTGCGGGGTCGAACTAACAATAYAATACATTCTCACGGAATGTCTTACATACCTCGATTCAAGAAATCACAATCATCTATCCAGCGATTTATACGACATACTGGGACCTGTTCTGCAATCACCTGACATATTCATGTTCCTCCAGGAGACAGGACTGGACAAACTTATTTAACCATTTGACAAAACACAACCTTATTAAAATTATACTCATATAATTTAGACAAACCTTATTATAATTATACTCATATAATATTATAGATATTTATTAAACCTTTTCAATCATTATTATGTAACACCTTTCAAAAAAAAAAAATGTATGTATCTTATCCCAATGGCCAAGTTGCCGAGGGTTATTTAAAAAAAAAAAAAATCACTTCACTCAGAATCTAAAATATTGATAGATGGAATTTTATTTTTCTATTAATATACATTTATACATTTCTTAAAAAAAATACCACGATTGAAATCAAATATTATTATTTATTATTTATTTTTTTTAAAGATGAACATTTTGCAATCTGTAAATTACTGATTTACAATAAGAACAAGAGTTTAAGAATTATATAGAAAAGATAAAATAATAATATACATTTTTTTCTTTATTTATAATATACACAATCTGTATATAATTGGCACAATAAGAGTATGAGCTAATTGGCAAAAAGAAAATTGAAATTTTTGAATGAAGAAGCCACCCACCGATGTCGCTTTTAACTTTTAATTATTTTATTTCATACAATTATTCTTTTTTTATTTTTTTGCTATTTTCATTAAGGGTTTAGTTGGTCTCTGCACCATTTTCGCTTATAGTGACGAGAGAGTTACCAGGGATGGTTATTATATAATTTAATTAATAAATCATACCTAAAAAAAATATTGTATATTATACCTATCAATTGTTTCATTTAAGAATTTTATAGTTTAGGATAACATATTGCTTTAAATATTTAAATAAACACGCTTTAATAGTTAAATAACCACAGTTTATATTCTCATAGTATACTACTTCATTGAAATATTTTATTACAAAGACCATAAGACCATTATAATTATCTTGGACTAATGAATTATTTTCATAATAAATGGCAATGACAAACATGAAATTGTAGGATCTACATTGATACATTTTCAAAAACTATCGCTTGGATAGATTATAAATCAAATAAACAATTTTGAAGAGCTCGTCGTTCACGATAAATAGCTATAGCAATTTTTTCTCGCTCAACTTACTGCTATTTCTTTTTTTTAAATATTAATTTCATTCTTATTAATCCTCCGCCTCCTTCTTTGAATAGTGTCCCCTGAGAGAATAAACTTGTGGCAATGTTGACGTAATTAATATAAAACTCGCAGTTAATTTTTATTTAATTATAAAACCAACTCAACAGTTTATAATTTCTCTTTTTTTCATTACCTCATCCACTTTCGATCCTCTTGTTAGTCTCGCAGAAAGAATATACGTTCCTATTAATTAATTCTAATGATTTCATTTATTATAAACATGAAAATATACTCGTATTATAATAATATTAAGTATTTTTAAATATTTTTGAATATTTGTCATGAAAATTATAAACTGCTCTAAGCAGACAAATTTAATTACTATTTATACACATCATTATTTCACTATAATAGTCTACAAATCAATTATCAACTGATATACATAATGTATAAGTAATAATTTATGTACTTTTTTATATTTTGAAAATGTGTCATATTGTAATAATTCAGAGATAGATAAAATATAAAATGATTCTTGAATATATAATTATTCTAATATTTACGTAATATGATTGATCTTATAGTAACTACCAGTGCTATGTTTTGTGGAACCCTAATATTATACAGTATAATAGTAGTATAATAGTAGAATTTATACTATATAAAAAGGCCAACCTAAATGTTTTAACTCTCAGTAATGTATGTATTGTATTGACCAAAAAAAATATTATGGTACAAAACCATAATTATAAATTTATTTTTATATTTATAGTTCATAAAATTATTTAACTAGCTTTACTGTTAAACTATAAAATATATTATTTATAATGAGTACCAAAAATACTATAAAACAAAATAATAAATAACCTATTTCCTTATCTTTTACTACAACAAAACTCAATACAACAACTAAAAGCAATTAAAAATTAATTATCATCAGATAGTTTACGAATTACTTTTGATTTTGTGCAATATAAAATGGACCCTCATAAAATTGTTTCCAAGCAATAATAATATATTCACTATATAAATTTGGCATTCCCATTTGAAGTTTAACTTTTATGGCTCAGAAATATTCCCAAAAATATATGAGGAAAGTTATACAATTCATTAGAGTTTAAATTGAAAAACGTAAATCCCTGAGAAACTAAAAAAAAAACTTTCAACTTCAACACATTTTTTTCTTTTACAGCCCATCAATTTACACCACACTCAATTTAAACTCAAGCAATTGTCAACTCTAAATCTATACATGTTATTAATAACATTCAAATGGGTGGATTTTTTTTTTTATTCCAAACTTGGAATTTTCAATTCTTTTTTATTAAATGAATTATAAACTTTTCCCTTGATGAAAAAAAAATAATACCTATTTTTATGTATTCAGATGTAGGATAAAACTTTCCCGCATCGACAACAAGATGATTATTATTCAGTTGAAATATGCCTAACAATAAATATTCGAATATAATTAATTTATGATGAGTCCCAAAAGTGCAATACAAGTGATTATTGTACAAGTAGTACTTTCTATAACATAAAAAAACCTACATGAAGATTAAATTGTATAATACTTTTAAGAACAATAAGTGCAATTTTAAATGGTTGAACGGTATAATATAATATTATACGTTGTCTTATATCAATATAAAACTGCATATATATTACAATCAAGTCTAAAAATTTTAAGGTAACTAACTTTTGTTTAAAAAAAACTATATTTTATTTAATCGACATTAGATGTAAGTGTGCTGTTTAAAAGAATCTAATTTAATGAATCTATGCATATTTTTTTTTTTTTGTACAGTAGGTATAATTTAAAAGATTTTTTATTATAATTTAAAATTAAACTACCTATTTATACAAAAATATAAATGTATTCAAAATATACGACTATCGCAACACGTAATATTATTGTTGTAATACTATTAAAATATTTTTAAAAAAAAATGTTTTATGTTCCTAAAAAGTGTTATTATTATATATTTATAATCACGAACGATATTCCGAGGTATTATGATTTATATTTGAATCCGATTAATAGTTTATAGATTGCTTAATATAAATATATATTGCATTATATTACTAAATGTAGTATGTATATATATATCTATCTACATGAACATTGCGTATAAATGGTATGGGAATAATGCGTTTAATTTAAATACTCAGGGATTTTCATGAATCTATATAAAAACAATTTTTCAAATATGAACCATATAATATAATGATAAATACAATATACAAATGTAGACATTTTGATTTAGTTTAAATGATATAATATACAAAATATACGCAAAATACTAATATTTTAATATTTAAATCCAATATGAATATCACACGGAACAGGGACCACTTATTTTAATATAGATCCTAACCAGATCAACTTGATAATTGATAAGATCTATATTACTTCTATATCTACAACATTATGTTATAATAGTGCATCAATGTGAATATTTCAGTTAATTATACAATAAATTATTACTATATATGTTTATTATTTCGGTAAATAATAGAAAAGCAATTGCTTTGTGTGTTTCCAATAATTAAAGCTATTTAAAATAAATATAAAAAAAATTTGCTAGTAATAATCAAATAGTTAAATTTTACCTTGATCGGCGAGTTGTTGGATCTTTCATAACCATCACTTCAGTTATCTCTCCAAACTTACTGAAATACTCTCTCAATGATTCTGAAACAAATTAATAAATAACCACATCAGTATACAAATGGTAGTATCATAGTAATTAACACTGACTTTCTAAACAATAAAGGTAGTAGGTACTACAATTTATATTAATTTTACACATAATATGTGATTAAATAATAGGTATGAATCTAGTTAAGTTTAGTTTCCCCAAACCTTTCCAAAAACGAATGAACTTTGTATATTTCAACGTATCACTTCATATAGGCTAAGTGACTCAAAAAAATTATGATTTACGACAATGTTTTTGGTGCTATCATTTTTGAAAAGTTCAAAAGATTGCACTTGTTTTTCTTTCTTTTTCCCGCATAAACTAGGAAATAATATCAGCCATAATACACATATCCGAAAAACAAACAACCCTGCAAATTATATCTCTTATTGTTATTTCCTCAAAAACCCTTAACAAAAATTAACTTTTTAACGATTTGTATTAACCATACTAGAGTAAGAAAAAAATAATATTAACATTGAGTCTTGGTAATATACTATAAACAAAAATATACCAATTAAGTCCAATTAAGTCCGATGATTATTTTGGACAGAAATATATTCTACAGTAAAATTTGAATATATACAAAGTTAATCTCATAAATTTTTATAAATATAAAGAATTCAATTTAGTCATAACATATGCTTATTTATTTATAAGCAAGTAATGAATGAGTAATTATAATAATATTATAAATTATAATACATTATATATTATTCTAATTAATAGTTATATTATATTTTAAGCAGCCGATTTCTATATACCAGTACTATAGTACATTATTCAAATTTTACAAAATTAACATAAAAAACATAATATTTGTATTAAGTCTGTAAAAATGGTAAGAAAGATGATTTTTTTTAAGTTTAATAGATTTAGTAGGTTAGTATTTGAACAGAGACTCAATAAATATTATATTATCTCATATTTCATGAAACTCAAATAGTATATTCCTTAAAACAACTGGGAACTCAATTTATTCTAATTATAGGTATATACATATATTGCTCTAAAGTTTTATTGCGAGACTCGGTTCCATATGCTGCCCTTTTTTTAAATGTTTACTGTCTAAATAGCAATGAATAAAAATAAACCATCGCCCTAAATTTAAGATACTGAAAAAATATTCTTCCTTTTACGTACATTTATTAAATGTCTAAATTTAATACCTATCCTAAATCTCCCACGAAAATTCCCATTTTAATGATGAGTTATCTGTTTGAAACCTTTCATGTTATTTTTTAAGTGAAATACACAGAATAATGTATATACTCAAGGAGTACGCATGCACAATATGCGTTAGGCAAAAGTGGCAGTAGTAGAGCAATGGAGAAGTAACACTGATTCCCTGATAAACCCGTCGGTAGAAATATGAATATAAGATGGTGGAATCTCTAGAGAAACGTTAGCATTTCCTCACATAGAAAACGTATATAAATACTTTACATCCCTTATAGATTCATACAGTTGCACACGATTTATGTATCTCCACAAAAGCCTTTCCCTTGATCATCACCGCTCACTCTCAGTCTATTCATATAAGTATCGCTCCGAATACGCACGCTGCACGTCAGCCTGTCTGCATCGGAGCTTTAGTTGAGAGACAACAGCACGACGCATATACGACGCAATGATTTCCAAATCTTGTCACAATTGCGACACCACCACCAAAAAAAAAAATGAATTTGATACTAGCATAATTATAATAACTATGTATGTGTAATTAATATTCGAGAAAAATCACCTTTACAGTTTCGTGATCATGATGTGACAGGTCTAAGTGTCAAATTCATTTGCCTTTTTTTCTCACGATAAACTTTAATAACTTTGGATAAAATATTAATCCCCTCATCATAGCTAATTAAAACACCGCACCTCCAGCGCATGGAGAATATCACGTCAAAGTATAATAATATTGTCGATGTTTACGTTCGATTATTTTGTAACTGCCGAATGATCAAGCAGGAAAAAAGACAGTTGTCCGATTTATTTATGATCGGATAATTGTATCACTGACAAAGTATTTAGTGATATATTATTCCAATTTAATCTAATATTCTTGTTTTACCAAGAACACTAAAATACAGACTATATTAAATTATAATATTATTATGGATATGGATAAAATATTATTTTCCAAGAGCATCATCACATTCGACCGTTTGATATTCCCAGAATTATAAATGTTAGCAAAAACGTATTAGTTAAAAAACTTGCATACATATTATTAAATATAATGCATTTCCGAAATTAAAATCGATTACATGGTCGGCCTGCAGCAATACAAACTACAGTATTTACCTATTTATGTTTCCCCCGAAAAACAAAAATTGTACTGTTCACAATGTTTCCGAGAAACCAATCATTTTTGAAATCGTTTTATTTGACAAAGTTTAACATAATTGATATCCCTTCCCCCCTCATGGTAATCAGTAATTATTTCAAACAAATTCAAATTCTGGTTATTTGATGATTTTTAACATAATATTATTTACCTATGGGGTATTGGGGTATTTTGAAAAGAATGATATACATTATATGTAAACATTATTACAAGATTAATAAATTTAGAAATAGATGTGTTATCCATATTAATTATTATTACCGTCCAAATAATTTTGATGCATTGACGCATATTGAAATATGTATACTTACACCTGAAAGACAGTTTTCAGCTAACTTTTAGTTTTATATTATAATATATTTGATTTGAATAATAACGAAAGATATATTTTTAGGAGTTTTATTATTTTTATATCACTGTTGTATAAAAAAATATTTTAAAATTCTCCAATGCACGGAATTTTGATGATTGCATTGTGCACCCAATCAAATAATAATATTATTTGAAGGAACGTTTCGAAAAATAAGACTTAAAAAGTGATGTTCTAAAAAGTACCAACGACAAAATAATATTACGAGAAAAATAATACGAGTATGCACAGTTCTCGCACATCAACCAAGATGGTTATTTTAATATGGAAACTGTATTAGGTTTCTAGACGATCGTCAAAGGAACGAATATTATGTCGTAGAATGTTTCCTCTACGAACTTATGCATGAAATCAAAATCGCCGAAAACGAAAACTTCGGGCAACACAAAAAAACACGATCGTTTGGTGTCAGTTTAGATTGTTTTTTTCAAATAAGTTTAATCGAAACGATATTATTAATAAATAATATCAATCTTTTGCATAAGGCTCAGTTGTAAATCGATATCAATAATTAAGATCTATATCGTGTATTACACATATTTTATAACTTTCTTGTAAAGCTTATACAAATAATTTGAATTTTTGAACTACAAAAATTCTAAAATCAATGCAGTGGGTATACGTATCAAAATAATAATTATTATATAATACTATTATATTGTACAATAAGTGTAAATGATTTATTTATTTACATTATAAATATATATACTGAATGGCGTGGTAAAAGAACTATTATTATATCAATACCCATGGAAAAACATTTTTAATTCAGTTAACAGAATTTACATTCATTTCAACTATCAAAAATAAATATCTTAGGGACTGCTATAAAATTATTGAAGTTGCTAAGTACACTAMACTTATGGTTTAAATAGCAATACGTATTATAATAGTTGTATTACTATAAATTACAAAATAATGGCCACTTATACTATAAAATAAATAGTTTAGCCATATTATTATTTTTTAATTTATTAATATAATTGTTCCAGTACATCAAGTATTTTTACAATGCTTTTATAATATTTACCCTATTATAATAACTGGTAACGTAAAATATATAGTTAAAGTAGCTGTATTTAAATGGTTGTTTATTTTGACTATATTATTATATTTAAATTATAGGAATTCTACAGGTGACGGCACTTTGGCGTGAATTTATGTGGTTACGGTGTTTATTAAATTAGGTCTTGATACTGAGCCTGAGGCTTCTCTTTTCTTTGGTGGGGAGTGGGGGGAGTTTCCAGAATTAAAGTTTATTAATAGGTTGTGAACGAGGGGATTTTTGTGGTTGCAATAGAGGTTTCTGAATTTGGAGTAAAGTTTCAAAATAAATAGTTTATGATATTTTTAGAATTTATAGGTTGTGGTTCGGAAGATATAGTTAGGAAAGGGAGGGAGAAGGCATTGATTATAACTTATAAGCCTTTCATTTTGGAATATTTGCCCTGTACTTGTACACCATAACGTCCATAACATATCCACACGAGTTTCAATTGTGGAGGTCTGAATAAAATATAATATTTATGTGTGTACCGTTAGTAAGTTGTAGATTGACGAAGATCGCACATTTTGCTCGACGCAAGGACGACGGCGACGGATGATAGACACCATCCACGTATTACATAAAACAATTTAGTATATTATCTTAATTCTTCGTGACACCATCCAAGAATTTATCATAAAAGCTTTTGATTTTTTACACGTGCGTCTTAAATTTGGACCGGTTCGTCTGATGTCAGCCAAACGTCGGCAAACCTGTACGGTGTTACCGCTGCAGTGAAATGTCACAGCGTCGCACGACTGGCCGGCGCAGTGGAGATTTAATTGTTAGAGGTGCAAATGGAAGTTAATTTTAATACGACTAAGATAAAAACGAATAACGCACATAGACCAACTCACTAACGGAACACGAATATCGGACTCATGACTAAATAAAGGTACTCACACGTTGCAAGTTGCAACGGTAGCGGCGGCGGCGGCGGTAGTGATTCGCTGGACAAAAGAAATATGCTGCCATCAACGCAGTGTGAGAGGAGCTTAAGCAGGCATAATACCAGCAAAATTACGTATTTTCCCTGTCACTGCACATGTGCTCCAGAGACTTGGAAAAAACGGCGACTGATTGGAATAAAATACAACAGTACTTGGAATATAAAATATATTATTGTATTGGAGCGTTGATCAAGAATTCAAGATAGTAATATTTTAGAATGTATTTTACATTATATATTTTTCATGATTTACATGTCTGGCGCACACTTCATGAACAGTACGAC